ACAATAGAGCCATTGCGAAAGCGAAGGAACTAATGTCTCATCAATGATCCAAACATGTATTAAAGCGGTATAATCTTATCAGAGAGATAATACATAGAAATAACATAAATAAAAGAACAAATTCTCACATTTAACAATATTGCAGATCCACTGACAAAGAGTTGTCGTAGCATAAGCATAATCATCATGTAGACTTATGATATTGGATATATAAGTGATTGGATCTAGTGCAAGTGGGAGTTTGTAAGTATTATGCCCTACGTCCAATCAACTTTGGATATAAATACTTTTGATATATAATTAATACAATTTAATGACAGGTCTATTATTTAATTAATAGACAATTAAATAAATAATAGAGTGCATAGATTCAAATCTTCATAATTTGTTAATCACAAGGAATTGTGATTGTGAGATACAAATTACATCTGATTGAATCTTAAATCGTCTGTGGTCGTAAGTAATGACGAGATACGGATATCGTTATTACAAATAGACCATTGATGAGTGTAATCCACTCATTAAACTAAAGCTTCTAAATCGAGTTTTTTGATGTGTTCTTGAGCATTTTTGAACGTTTTGATGTGTGTGTTAGTGTTGTTTTGCAGTTTGAACAATTCTCAAGAAAATATCACTATTGGGAGCCGGTGATGAGCAAAAATGATGATCAATGAAATGGAGCATGAATAAGCAAGTATTGAATAAGATTGGAGTGGGAAATAGGCTTGGAAAAAACAAAGAGAAGAGGATTAAAGCAGTGGCATTGGCGCCACGGCGCCGAAAAAGGGGCGCCAAAGAGAAGAAAAAGCAAGCAGAAACCTAGGCGCCACGGTGCCAAACTTGGGCGCCATGGCGCCCAAGGAAGAAAAAAAGAAGCAGAATATTGGGCGCCAAGGCGCCAGACCTGGGCGCCATGGCGCCCATGAAAGAAAAAACGGGGCAGAGACCTAGGCGACACGGCGCCAGACCTGGGCGCCATGGCGCCCGTTTCCAAAACAGTAAAATCCGGGTTTTTAAGTATTTTTTCAGCCCAAAAATCACACCCTAACCCTTGAAGACCCTTAAAAATATAAATACTCAGCAAAAAGAACAGGAAAAGGGGTTGGACGGCTGAAGAAAGGAGGCAAGGGTATACACTAATTGAGAGAAGATCGAACCGATTTTGGAGAAGAAGAAGAAGAAAAACTGAGAATCAAGCCACAAGATTGAGAAATAGAGCAACAACCTGAGTTTTTTCTTATCTTTCTCTTCTTCATGAAATTTAATTTGTGTTTTATCATGTTCTTCTTTTCAATCATGAACTAAGTTATTAAATCTAGGGTTTGATGTAACCTATTTGAGATATGAGTCGATTTCTTTATAGTATTTCTATTTAATTTTCCTGAATTGAATTTTTATTGTTCTTGCTTAATGCTTTCTTTTGCCTGATCACCAATTGAATGAATTGATGTTCTAAATTTGACGCTCGAGAGAGGGAAATTTAGGCGTGATCTAAGAACAATATAACCTAGGTTTGTAGATTTCGAGAGAAAGTACGAATCTTTGAGGGTAAAACAAGAACCAAGTACGTGATAATCTTTATATATTTAATTCGGAATAGAGATATTGGGGTTAAAATATAGAGATATATTCTATTTGACGCTCGAGAGGGGGAAATAGAATTAATTTAGGATTCTTGCCTATGAATTTGGGAAATATTGGATAGAAATATCTATAGGGATTGAGAATTATGTCGAGAATATGGTGAAATCATTCCCTAGACATTACGTAAATTTGATTTAATCTTTAGAAATTGCCTCACTTTTATTGCACTATTTAATTCATTGACGTTAATTTAGAAATCAAATATTAATTCAACACTTGATTGTCTAGATAAAGTAAACGCGGACACAATCATAGTACTCAGTGGAACTCGAATATCAATCCCTGTGGGTTCGACACTTTTCAATTCTTTAATATACTACAAAACTTGACACCGTGCGCTTGCGGTATAAAATCACGTTATATAAAACGTGTGGCAACCATCATGTGTGGCATTTCTTACTTGTGAAATAAGTAGCTGATCTCACAAGCTAAAGTGTGGTGACACTTAAATGAACATGTGGATGTTTTGTTATAGAACAAAACATTGGAGACCCGCCGAGAGATTCCACATGGATAACTATCTAAATATCAGTGGTTGATCTCTAACGTTCAGTAGTGGAATTGGTCCTTTGACTTGAGGTCGTCATGGTACCTTATATGAGGACAGTCATACTTTAGCGGTGTTGGATGTTGCTCTGCAAAGGGCGGCTAATACGACATCATTCGGGTACGTCAAGAATCGTATGAAAGTTATGATTGATTAATAAAGGATTCGTCACTCTTAAATAGTAGGAGATTATGATTTGCGTTTCATTCAATTATGTTGATAACGAAATCCTTGGTCAAGGTGTCATCATAAGTTGAAAATGAGTTTTCGACTTATATTGACTTAATAGTGGAGTGAAAGATATGATCGATATTCGGGATTGACACAATTCCATATCTCGAAATTGATCGGATCGTATTGACGAAGAGATTATAGCTTCACGGTAAACGAACGAATTTGGTTTTGTCATACCACATGACATTCCCCGTCACATGTATTGCCCTGACACATTACTAGATGTCAATCTGGGAAGGCGAGTGTGAATTGGTGATAAATTAAAAGAGTGTTTTAATTTATCAATTTTGATTATATCAAAATAATATTTCACGTCTTTAGGCATCGTGATCGGGAACTTGATGGGTCACACACAAAAGAGAATTGGAATATTGTAATTTGTCAATTAATGAATTTAACAATCATTGGATAAATTAATTAATTGGGTTGGTTATTTATAAGCCCGAATTAATTAATTGAATTAATTAATTCACGGATCGAATTTAATTAAATGGATTAATTAAATATTGGACCGGATCAGGCCAGGCCCGTTTGGGTTTATATAAATACATAGCTAGGATTTTCAATCCATATGTTTTTTCTCATAATTATTCTTGTTAGCACAAAAGGAAAAAACCTTGGTAGCTGCAATTTTGTTCTCTGTGTGGATCACCGTTGGAGACTGGACAATTGGACAGCTGTGGATGGCGAATCAAGATTGCTGGAACGAAAAGAATAGCAAAAAAGTTTGCAGATCTGGAACATGTATAATCTTTTCACAATTTCTATCTAAACACAAAGAAATTCTTGATGGGAATCAAAATCTATTTTAATTTTCCGTTGCGCCTATTAAGTAGATTTCCAACAAACACCAACTAGTTTACAAGTATTCTCGAAAACAATATAATCGAGAGTTGCCAGAGAATTTGACCATCATACCATAGGCAAAAGGAGCCATTCACAAGTCTCTTTCAAGTCATTTCGCTTGGCCAACAAGCAATGGACGTGATTATCATGTGAGACAAAACTACGGAAAAAATGGCTCATCTATATGGGCAATTCAAGTAACTAGCATACATGAGTTGGTTCATTTCGTAACTATGCGATTCTTTAATTAACAAAAAAATAAAATGAGTTTATTTTGTCTATGAAAAATTCCATTTCGTAAAAATAATTAAAAGAAATACACCCCCCAACCTTTTTTTTTTTTTTTTTTTATTGTCTCTCCATCGAACCTCAAGAAACAAACCAAAAATCACCCACCATGGAATTTTGTCGTCATTATTTTAATTTTTTTTAATTATTATTTTGAATGGTTTATGACACACTGCTCAATGTGAATTGAAGTCTCCACACCTGAGTTTATAAATAAATGATGCAATCCCAATAAGAAAATATTTCATTGGAACAGTGTAATTCTCAAGTTTCAATATATATTATTAAAAAAATCATCTCGAAATTGTGTCAAACAACTTTTTCGTCTAAAAAGATGTTTGATCATGCGACTTCAATTATTGTCTTGACAATGTGTAAGCTTACATTTTAAATATGACAAACATGTTGTAACCCTTAAAAAAATGATCGCGTTAAAGATTTCACAAGTAATTGAGAAATTTTCAGACACACTTGGATTTCTTATATGAAAGGATAGCAAATTTGTCATGGCGTTATTGTTCCATATCGAAGAGTACATTTGTTCATGAAGCATGCGTCAATTTACCCCTTTGTACTTCTATTCAAGATCAATGCTGCTATAGTTAAAGGAAACGCTTTATAGAAATCGTACAGGAATTCAAAACAAATTTCCAGTACCTGGAGCATAACTCATTTAAAGTTCACTTAAAAGAGGTAAATGAACAATTTACATTTGTTGACCTTTATCGGATGAGTAAATAAAAGTAGTTAATGATATGACAATTCATTGACATAAGCCAACTTCCTTTTTTTGGTTTGATCGGTTTGTTTTGGCACCACAAATCTCTCTACCAAAAAAGGCGCGAGATCTAAGTTATCTCTAATCATAAACAAGTTTCTGAAAATAATGCGGCAATTCACGATGGTCAACGTTAATATAGTTATTAAAATTTAAAAACTAGGCTCCTATTTGATTCCCAAAAGGTTATATTAAAATCTAAGTCAAATTTAACTATTACTTTCAGTTATATATTTTATGAATCCCACAACTTTTCAATCACATATTTTATTATCTTTTATTAAAATATACTAAAATTTAATTTTTATCTAAATCAAACTAGGGCTAGAAACTAAATTATAAGACCTTAGATTCCATACATGTACATGTCAATGCAAGCGTGTCATAAGTCACCACATTTGCAAACTAACACGGTTGATTTGGAAACTGAAAAATCTATCAAATAAGTCATTTAATTTCATATTTCATCTAATCTATCATCCAGCATTACGCTACCACCTAGATTGCGATTGCAATCCCAGTGAGGCTACGTAGCATTACATAATGGTATTTCTTCTCATCAACATTCTTTGTCTTGGATTATCATATATATAAATTTCTTCTTTTATTTTCTCTGACGCAAATATCTACATATTAGACTGATCTAGAGAGACAAATCAAGCATTCAAGCGTATAAACTTGTAAGATTGTAGAGATATGATACGAGATTCCACATTTACACAAATTTTCACCAAACATGCTATTAACATCTTTTGAACAAAAATAATGGCAATAATTTACCAATTTTTCAAAAAAAAAATATATAAAAAGTCAATGTGCAGACGTAGATTATAAGTTCTCCTGAATCCATTAATCTTCAACAGGTGCTTCCAGTTTCCATAGATTGACTAAAAGAGCATAACCATCTTCTACCTTCATTCTCAGAGCTGGAACGCCTAAAGCCGGATCTTGAACATCTAACCAGTTGATTCCTCAAGTTACGGCCGACTGATCTTGGAACCAAAGGAGGAGCAGGGTCTGAAGCTCCCATACAAAGGCTTGGTCGGAGTTTCATGGATGGAAACCTTTGGCAACTAAGCGAGCGGAAAGAAGAACCGAGAGGGGAGATCCGAGCACACGAGAAATCCGGCTTGCATAATGGGGTTTCCAATAAAGTGGGTTCAGGAACCCCAGTCGAGCAAGTGCAAAAAGTCAAGGACAAACTTGTTCTTGAAATATCCTTGCATATTGACCTTGTGTCCGGAAGCTTAACGAAAGAAACTATACCATGCCGGCAGAGTGGGCAAGCAATTGAGCCCGGGGAACCGTGAGAAACAGTAGAGATGCTATTTGTGGAACATAGATACAAAGCACAATGCGTGCAGAACTCATGGAGACAACCTGAAAAAACAAGCATCTTACATTCATTTGCATATGATGTCATTGCATGAGTATAATGACTGTGTAGCAAGTTTTCTCTATCATAGTTACAAATTCAACATTTTTTTTCATCATGGCCAAATTAATGGCTCGAAATCTCACACAAGCAAGAACTTACTGCAAAGAATGGAAAAAGAGGATATTTCAGGATGAAAAATTTAAGGTAACACGAAACGAAATAAATGGCAATTGTCAGAATAGTATGAAGTTTATATTTATTAGAATAGGATAGCAATAGGCATTTTGACGATGATGAACTAAATTAAACTCCACCCCCGTCAAGAAATCCCAAGCAGACTATAAAAGAAAATAAACGTCACTAGTTCATATTTTATACATTAGTAGCAACATCATGTGGGCAGTTCAATATCGATAGTCATCTACTATGTGTGCTTAAGTACGCATTGTTCATAAAAATTTCACTACATAACTAGAAAGGAAAACACAGAATGAGATCCTTTGTGCTAAATATACTGCTAGTTTGAATTAATATACCTTCTGCAGCAACTGTGCATTTCCTTTCCAAGCAAACAACACAAGGATCTACGCATGTGGACAGCGTGTCGTTGCCTCTCCATCCACATTCTCTGCAAATGAAACAAAATAGAATAATAGTTGAACTTAATTGCGACCATTCGTGTTGTTGTATAATAGAAGTGTCATTAATTTTCTCACTGTGTCACTGTATGTTCATCCTTTTCATCTAAAAGTTTAAGCTATTAGGGAGGTGCTACATGTATTAATGTAAATCTTATCTTCAACGTACCTCCTCACATGCAGACTCAATTCATTTTTTTATCAAATGTCCAACATGTGCACAATTTTCATAAATGGAAGGCGTCGAGGCTTGAACCCACAGTTCCTTTGCCTATTCTAATACTATATTGAATCATTTCATCTAGAAACTTAAGTTGTTATAGAGAAGCTATGCATATTCATTTAAATCTTGCATTCAACATTGTATAAGATCTAGTTGAGAAGCAAATACTGGGCAAAGGCCATAAATGCTATATCAGCATTTTTTTTTTCTTTTGCTCATCAGGGAATTTCTTTATTCTAAAAATTAATGGAGCAATGTGTAATTTTGGCTCACCTAGAGATATTAACGATGCTCATAAGAGGAAGACATAAATATGGTGAAGGACTAAGTTGTGGTTGGCTTTCTGGACTCCTGCTAAGAATTTCCTCGAGCGAATCTCTATGCCAAGAACGGCCAACCATCAAGGGCGTCCAACTTTGAACAAATAGAAACAAATAGTTAAGTAAGAGAACAAATCGTTGGTTAACAAAAAGTAATAAAATAATGGACCTTCAAAATACTACATCCAAACATCGTAGGGGCTAATGTCTGAAAACAGCAACAGATAACCCTAACCAACCTTAACCCCAGGAAAGATATATAGAATGCCGGTAAGCTTAAATGTACAAGTAAATAAGTTCTAGAATAAAGAAAAAAAAGTTATTGATCCAACTTGACATTAAGCTACTCGACAGTATGATAAACGCTACTCTCGAAATAAGTGACTTTTTCTTAAAAGAAAAGTAATCTATACAAAATATGAAAATAAAAATTACTTAAAAGTAACTTTTACTTATTTTTAAGCTTAGAGAAGCATGCTTTATGCAACGTTAGAAGAAATATGTTAAGAGTGAAACCATTGAAATTTGAAAATTAGTCAATTGCTTACCCATTAGCATTTTCTGCAGTCAGACTGGCACCCCTTGAAATCAAAAGCTGAAAATAGTGAAATCGATTATATGTTTAGCTCATTTCCACCCGCATCGAAATTTACATTTGACCTAAATTATACAGACCTGACAGCACTGTGCACTACCACCACAAGCAGCATAATGGAGGGGTGTGCTTCCTGGACCTGCAAATAGGTAAATATTCTTAAATTTAATCTAATAGCATTATCAGGTCAAGAAACATGTAATGGGTGTTGACTGTTTGAATGTTATTATTAAAAGAGGCTGTCTCGTTAAATGCTCTCATAATCAATTATGAGTCAAATAAGAACATGTAGATGCTTTCAAGCTGCTCCTGCTATAATCCAGAGCTAAAGATAGTATATATTCAATAAATTCAATGTCCTACGTCTTTTATTTCGATATCTAATGCTTAAAGAGAGAAACTGAGTAGAGCCGTATGGATCATTAGACTAGTTCTCAAAAAGGCCTTTTATGAAATCAAACTCACACTATAAGCTTTACAGCTTGATCATTTACTATAGGACTAAGTTTATTTTAAATATAAAATCTTTGCTCACAGACACATCAGCTTAGTTTCCAACTCGGAGTCCTTTCTTCCTTCATTATTA